CAGAGCATGATAAATGTGTGGACAAATTGAATGACAACAGATGTGAGATGCCCTTGGGAAGTCCAGCTGCTCACATACTTGGTATTACTCAATGGAGGTAATTGGTATGAGAAGCCCAATGCAGGGTAGATATATTGGGGCAGAGCCTGGGATGACTTGGAGCTTATGGAAGATGGTAGGGAGGCCAGCAAGGAAAGCATTGGAGAAATCTGTTCAGGCTTTTTTTCAATCTTTTTTTTCATTGTTGACCAATATTTGCAACCTTACCAAAGAGAGCACCTCAATAAGGGAAGAATAGGCCAATTTACTGCCCTCCATTAATGGTGAATTTCCACTATTTTTGCTTGGGTGACAAAAGCATGGATAAGCAGGTGGAGTAGATGAGATAAGAACATTTGTGACGAGCTATGGAGAACAGGGGAGTTCTGTAGCGTATCGGAAACGTGAGGACATGGGTTCGATTCCCGGGCAGGGTGAAATGTTAGGCAAGTTTCCTCTCTCCACATGGCTCTGTTTACCTAACTGCAAGTAGGAACCCGGTTGTTAGTAGATTGGTGGATTGCTTTTCTGGCCGTAATAATCCCCTTAAAAAAATAAAAATAATAATAATAATTTGCTCACTCAATCCATGTCTGTTTGTGGGACACAAACACAAACTGTTTGTGAGGGAATGGTTCAGAGTACAGAAAATTTTCACAACAGCACAAATCTAACCGCTGGAAAAATATTAACACTGCTTAGTGGTTGACATAATCAACTATGTTAACCAATAAAATGTCGCAAAAAACATTTTATTTACTCCCCAGTTTATAATATTCACTGATTATCATTGACACCTTGGCTTACAATTTCCTCTTTACAGGTATGAAAAGTGTTTAAAGGCAACGTGTACTAAATTCATCCACTCTACCCTAGGAACACATCAGGAGTATAACCTTTGAAAGAAACAACTTGCAATATGTAGTGCCCTTCATGTAGAGTAACATCTTGGAATGCTTTACTGCATTCTTCCTCCCTTATGTGAATCCCTGGGCCAAATAGTTTATGTCCTTTTGAGTGAGATTGTCAATTTATTGCTGGTTAGTGTCAAGTTAGTCGCAAATTATGGATATGTTATATGCCTGGTAAATAGGGGCCAGGTTTAAACTGTCCAGATTCATTTCACTGAGGACCAATGCAATAATCCCACTCTCTTGATCACTGTCCATAACCTTTAATAGATCTTCTCTTCCTCAAGAAAATTATAATAATACAGTAAACCTCACATAAGTTGTATCAGTTAGGAACATGCATTTAATATGACTTCTGCATTCTGTGATAAAACCTCTGTGATGAACCATCACCCACACATTCATCACATCCATGTTTGACTATGCAAACTCCCTGCTTGTCAGCCTCCCCAACTACTCGCTCCATAGGCTGCAGTTTATCCAAAACTCTGCAGCCCGTGTCCTCTTCCGCACCAGGCTCCGTGACCGCTCGGGTGCTGATCCCTGACTGTCCAGCACCTTGGGACGTCCTCCTGATGTGAAAGGTTATTACGACTGTAATTTGTTGTTGTTGTTGCAAAGTATAAATTATATCAAACAAAGTCATATCGTATATGACTCATGTAATGCTATGTATAAATCAGATTTTATCTGATTTGCACATAACAAATACAACAACATTACATTTGTATAGCACCTTTCACATCAGGAGAACGTCCCAAGTCTCTGGACAGCCAGAGTTTCGGACCAGAGCTGGGGGTCGGGGTCGGGGAGGGTGGAGGGCAGGGGGAGAAGCAGGGTGATTGAAAGCACGGTTGAAGAGAGGGTCTTTAGATGGATCTTGAAGGAGGAAAGGGAGGGAGCGAAGCGGAGGGACTGCGAGTTCCAGATGATGGGGGTAGAGTGGCAGAACGCCCACCCGCCAATTCTGTGGTGAGCGAGGCGGGGGACGTGAAGCAGGCCAGAGCTCACTGAATGGAGGGAGTGGGCAAGATGGTATGGGGTTAGGAGGTCCCAGAGGTAGGTGGGAGCAAGGCCACGAGCTGTAGAGTTCTGGATCATCTGCAGCCTGTGGAAGGAAGAGTTGGGAAGGCTGACAAACGGGGAGTTTGCATAATTAAGCCTCGATGTAATGAAGGTTTTGGTAGCTTGCGGTCTGAGACAGTGACGGAGCCGGGCAACGTTATGGAGGTGGGGGAATGGCACAGATATGGGGTAGAAAGAATAGTTGAGGGTCAAACAAGACACTAAGGTTACGGACTGGCTTAGCAAGGTGGAGTGTGCAACCATGGATGGTGATGCTATCAGTGCCTGAGGTGCGAAGGAGAGCCTCGTTCTTGTTGACATTCAACTGAAGAAAGTTAGCTCTCATCCAGGACTTATCATAGAATCATAGAATCATATAGCACAGAAAGAGGCCATTAGGCCCATCACGTCTGCGCCGGCTCCGAAAAGAGCAATCCAACTCAATCCCACTGGCCCGCTTTCTCTCCACAGCCCTGCAATCCTGTCCTCCCCAAATACCCATCTACTGCTCTCTTAAAAGTTGTTATTGAATCGGCTTCCACTACCCTTTCAGGTAGTGCATTCCAGATCCGAACAACCCACTGGGTGAAATTTTTTTTTTTTCCTAACCTCCCCTCTGTTTCTTTTAGCAACTATCTTAAGTCATTGACTTGATGTTTGACAGACATTCTGTCAGGACAGCAGTGGTCCTGGAATCGAGAGTGGAGGCAGAGAGGTAAAGTTAATATATATATAATCCTTGCATTTGATATAGCGCTTTTCACGTCTTCTCGACATCTCAAAGCGCTTCACAGAATAGACTGTAAAGTGAATTGACCGTATATTTGTAGGCGAAACGCTGCAGCCAATTGCGCACAGCAGTGTCCCACAAACAGTTGTGGATTGAAAATGACCAATTTATTATTTTTTTTTATTTTGGAGGGATTATTTTGGATGTCATCAGCATACGTGTGGAAGTTGACCCCATGTCTGCAGATGATGTCACCAAGAGCAAGCATATAGATATTGAAGAGGAGGGGACCAAGGAAACACAAGTACTGAGCTGGCTGATGACATTAAGGAAACGTTATAAAATGGAAATTTTCAGACATTATTTTCTGGAACAACCATTTTCATATACTATTCAACCTGTTTTATTATCTGTAAATATTTTATTTGAACATTCCTGTTGCCTTCCCTGATGCTATTTTATTTTTCCTGCAGTGGGAGATGATACAAATGTGTGAATTATTTAAGAGATGAAGGGGGAAGTTAAGGGTACACTGTCTCAGTCGTAAAGGGAGACGTGTCTGGCCTCTTACTTTTTACAGCTGTCAGTTGGAGGAAACCGTATAATATAAAATAATAGTCCTTGCATTTGATATAGCGCCTTATCACATCTTCAAAACATCTCAAAGCACTTCACAGAATATACTGTAAAGTGAATGACTGTATTTTGTGGGTGAAACGCAGCAGCCAATTGCACACAGTGTCCCACAGTCATGGATTCAGTGACCAAATTATGATTATTATTATTTTTAAGGTATTATTATCTCCAGAAAAGGGATCTGCCTATCGACTAACACTTGAGTTCCCACTTATTGCTAGCTAAACATTGATGTGTGGAGTAAGGCAACTTGCCCAATGTTTCGGCCTGCCCGGGAATCAAACTCAACCCTGGAATCTTAATCATCGACCACTATGATGCCATACTAGAAACAGGCAATGCACCCCAGGGCAAGAATATTTACCACAAGGTAACAACTGTAATTAATTAACCTCGGTAAAACAAAGCAAATATTATGGAGTGACTGATAGAATTTCATGTATATAAACACAAGATAATACATATTAGTACTAAACAATAAACCTATCTTCACAATGAATGTTGTCAATAGTAATTAGGGAGAGAACAGGTTTCAGGTGTGATTTTTGATCGTTCATCAAGATAATAATAATAATAATCCTTGCATTTGATTTAGCGCTTTTCATGTCGGGAGGAAGTCCCAAAGCACTTCACAGAACACACAAGTGAATTGATTCTATATTTGTGGTCGAACGCGGCAACCAATTGCGCACAGCAATGTCCCACAAACGGTCGCTAGATTAAAAATGACCAATTTAATTATTGTTTTTGGTTTTGGAGGGATTATTATTAGGCTCTGTGTGGAGTAAGGAAACTTGCCCAAGGTTTCGCCCTCTGCCTGGAATTGAACTCAGGTCTCTCGCTTGCAAAGCAAGTGCTCTAAACACTGAGCTACAGGACTCCACGATTTCCAGTTGACATGAATACCAGACTGTATCTTGAAGCATTTCACTAAAAGCCCGAAGCAGATATTTTAAAGGTATATAAATCACTGGGTTCAATTCCCGGGCAGGGCGGAATGTTGGGCAAATTTCCTTATTACACACACCTCTGTTTACTTAGTGTTAAGTAGGAACCCGGTTGTTAGTCTAATGGGGGATTGCTTTTCCAGGGGTAATAATCCCTTCAAAATAAATGTTAAAAAAAATCAAAAAAATGTGGTCACTCAATCCATGACTGTTTGTGGGACACTGCTGTGCGCAATTGGCTGGTTAATTTCGCCCACAAATATACAGTTAATTCATTTTACAGTATATTCTGTGAAGCGCTTTGAGACATTTTGAAGATGTGATAAGGCACTATATCAAGTGCAAGGATTACTATTATATATTATCTACAAATATATATATTTTGCTTTTTTATAAAAAGTGTTGTAAGGAGAAGAGGGAGGACGTTGCTGTTGTTACACAAGCTCCCGAGAGGCTGGGCGATAGGGCGGCTGTGGAGGGAGGGAGGGAAGGAGGGTGTGTGTTGCTCTACCACTTCCAATTGGCTTACAAGGTTTGTAGCGAAAACACATTGGATGGAGAGTTTAACAAGAAGTTGGGAGACAGGTTTACCAACTTGTTGACAATCTGAGCTGCAGTGTGGTTTACCCTCACTCGCTCCCTGGGCTCTGCCAACTACAATTTACGTTTTTTTAGGAGGGGCGATTTTTAAAAAATATATATACTTTATTTTTTGTAATTTCCTTTCTCTGAAATAGGATGGTGGACAGCGTTTACCGAACTCGATCCCTCGGGGTTGCAGCGGTTGGTTTGCCTGACCAGTACGCGGATGGTAAAGCTTCTAAAGTCTGGCAGCTTTATATAGGCGAGACGAGCAGCAGGACTGACGAGTACAGGAATGCGGTGCTACAGCTTCTCCAGAAGCACAATTGTCGCCGGATCCTGGATGTGGCTTGTGGCACTGGGTAAGGAGCAACTCTGAGCAGCTCTTTAATAATAATACATAATAATAATAAATAATAATCCTTGCATTTGATCTAGCGCCTTAGCAAAGCATCAAGACGTCTCAGTGCGCCTTATCATGTCTTCGAGACGTCTCAAAGCGCTTTACAAAATATACTGTAAAGTGAATTGACTGTATTTTGGAGGCGAAACGCAGCAGCCAATTGCGCACAGCAGCGTCCCACCAACACTCGTGTCGTGGATTTTATGTTTGACTTCAATGCGGACACACATTTAGAGTTAAAGAGTTTGGCTTATTTTTACAATGAGACAATTCGTGATTTAATTTCCCATCGTTATGTGTGAACCTTAAATTAGACATATGATAAATGATTGCAATTGCCAGCCTGCAAAAGGTTTTTTAGGGAAAAGTGAGTGAGAGATTGCAAGGTTACTGCTTTGTTACAGCGTTTAAGATGATGCAATCAACAGGGCTGATCAACTGATTGACTCAGGAATTGCTCTCTGAACCCTGAGCTGAGATTAGGACCTTTGTGATCAGGCAGGGTCACAGCACAGATGCTGAACAGTTTCAGGGCAAGTTGTCATTTTTAACATTAAAGGAAATGAGGTTTATCTGTAGTTCATAGAATCATACAATTTTACAGCACAGGAGGCCATTCAGCCTATGGTATCAGTGCCGGCTCTTTTAAAAGAGCTATCCAAATCAATCCCACTCACCCACTCTTACCCAAACCTGCAAACTTGTCTTCTAGCCGTTCTCAGGGTTTGAGCTGTTACACCTCTTCCACAGCCTGGGACAGTTCCAACCACCCCTGCTGCCAGAAATACTACTGAAGCTTCAGTAGCAATAGCATATGTTGTTTTTCTTGACATTTGTAATGTGGAGGCAGTGCATGGGAAAGTCATCTCTGGGAAGATGCTGCAGTTAAGGTAAGTTTACTCTCAATTCAAGCTCTATGGGTCTTAGTTCACAGACTAAAGTGCTTATGCTTTAACAGCAATTTAACGTTGAACAGTTTTAAGTCAATATCCCACAAACAGCCATTGGAGTGAATGACCAATTAGATTTAGAGGATTGTTGGCCAGAAAACCAAGATAAACTCCCTTCTCTTTTTGAATAGTACCATGGGATGTTTAACGTACACCTTTGAACAGGCGATGGGCCTCGGTTTAAAGTATCTTCCAAAGGATGACATCACCAACAATGCAGCACACCCCCAGCACCACATTGGAGTGTCATCTGAGATGATAGGAGTTCCAAGTCCAACTGCCCAGATGATACCTTGTCCATGCTGCCTCTTGTCTCGCCACTAGGAGGGCGAGACTGTTGTGCTGGATGAATTCTGCCTTCTTCTCTGTTACTAATTATCTTCCATGTAATGGGGTGGCTCGAGCAGAATGTAAAAACGGGCAGCCTGGAATTCATATCTCAAACCACAGGACACTGTTGCTGGATTAGAAAAATACACAAAAAAGCATGTTATGGCGTTGATGCAGCAAATACCTATATCGTATAGTTTCTGAATGTGGTTCATGATCTTCTGCTGACCTGGGGGTCCTGATTGTCCATAAATTAAAGCTCACCCAACAATGCTCTGTGGCAGTGAGTAAAGCCAACCAGATGTTGGGATGTATTGAAAGATCAATGGCAAACCGAAATAGTGGGGTAATCTTGCCACTGTATAAATCATTGGCAAGAGGATACTTACTTGGTCGCTGCAGTACAAAAAGGATATTGGAGAAATCGAGAAGATACAGAGGAGGACAACCAAAATGATTGAGGTAATGGAAGGACTGGACTATGAGGAGCTACTAAGTAAATTTGGTATGTTCACGCTGGGAAAGAGAAGATTGAGAGGTGACATGATTGCTGTTTTTAAGATTCAATATATATCATGACAAGCTGTTTCAACTTGTTCAGAATAGTAAAGCAAGAGGCCTGCGATTAAAGGGGGGTAAATTCAGAACAAATCTATGCAAACACTATTTCAGTGAAAAACAAGTGAATCTGTGAAACAGGCTCCTTATGGAGACGGTTGAAGCAGGAAGTGTTGATTCTTTCAAACACAAATTTTTCTTTGAGGTAGTAACATTATGGGATATAGTACTAAACATAGGTAGTTCGGGACATATGTGCGTGCGACTGCCAGCAAGGTGGAAGGCAAACTAGATGGACCTTTTTTTTTGTCTAGCAGTTTTTATGTTCTTATGACTCAGCCATTGGGCTATCGGTGTTAATTTCACTCTGTGAGTGTAAACATCAAATTAGGTTGGCAGTGAGTCTAATACGGATGTTTGTTGCAGACAGGCCTGTGCTCATAAACAGAACTAGTCATTAGTGGATTGCTCCCTTTGCTTCATTCCTTGGGATATAAAATTCATGCATGTACAGTTGGCAAACATCCAGGAGGTTTTCTGTACAAGGGCAGATCGATGTTCTGGCATGTTTCCCAGTTTGCTCCCTTCTTCCTCTAAAGTCACCGATTCGTGCTGGCACTTGTGAAACCCTATTGTATTACATCCAGATGTGAGTCTAGACACATGTAAATTTAGGCAGAGAATGCCGCCAAAAGGGTTATCAGTTTCTCCCCTCCTCTCCACAAGGCACCGGGGCTAATTTTATCATCTCACTACTTGTAAACATCATATATCTAGTAATTCATTATGGAGTCTTTATGGCCTGCATCGGCTTGGTACCAAATCATGGATCATTTACTCACTGGCTTATCAGGAAGCATTGCAGGACAGCAGTAAACAAAAGATGTTGTGGGTAGGAAAATGTCTAGGTGAGTTCTGTTGGTATCTGCTATAAGTCTCCTGGTGTTTGCATTGTTTATTGCAGAGAAAAATCCTTATTTAAAATTTAGACACTTCAAATGGGACAACATCCCACACAGGGTATTGTTTCTATAGAACTGACTCCCAACAAAAACATATATTGGGATTATAATCTTCAAACCAACTCGTCTTGAAGGAGTTCATCAACATTGCGAGATTTGAAGGTGTATATGTATAAAGTGAGGTTGTTTTGAGGGATTGATCGGGGAAAGGGAGCTGGGATTCAATAATGGAATGTTAAATTTAAGAATATTCTGCAGTCTTTGTTTAGTTTTTCTTTGGGGAGGTTTTTCTTCACCTTAATTATTCACCTCAATTATTCACCTGAGAGCTGATGGTGGGTGTAAGTGATCTGAATAATTTGTCTTTCTGGAAATTAACTGGCACATTCCTTCAATGATGGAAACAGCCGAACAGTCTTCAGCACACATCAGTTCATATATAGCACAGTTTGTCACTCACAGTATTAATAGAAATGATTTCTGGAATAGACACAAGATTATGAAACAATCTTTGAAATGGGAACCCACTGATTTGAATTAGATGTATAAAGTTCTATTGGGGTGAATCATTTTGATTCTATAATCAGATCTGGTAACCAACAGAATTTCAGTTAACAATTATCAATTGGTTTCAGGTGTTAATCTTAGCCCCCCACTCCATCCGCCCACAACTCCCATACACAATTATTTGGTTTGATGTTTGATAACAACTTTTAAGAGAGAAGTAGATAATTATTTGGGGAGGACAAGTTTGCAGGGCTATGGAGACAGAGCGAGGGAGTGGGATTAATTTGGATAGTATTTTTCAAAGAGCCGGGATAGACACAATGGGCCAAATGGCCTCCTTCTGTGCTGTATAATTCTATGATTCTATGAAGTTACTTTACAAAATCTTAAAGCCAGAGATCATTAATTCAGGATTAGGATTGCAACAGAAAATCATTTCTGTTGAAGTTTTGTCCCATCTTTGTGAAATAGTTTGGCTCAAGACCCTTTATAAATTGTCACTGAACATCCTGTCCTGTGGATTGCAGCATTCACAAGCACCACTCCACAGAATATTAGTTTAATTTAACTTTTAAGGTTCAATAACTGAACTACACTGAAATGTTATGATCTACAGAATTTCAGGCTCAATGTCTATAGTAGACTGCTGCAAACAGTGTTGGGCCCAACCAATTATTGAGAGAGACCAAGCCTAGATCGGAAATTCTATCACAATGAATCTTCATATGACTGAGGTCTTTTCGGTCTCTGAAGCTTTTGTTGTCTTAGACATCAGGCTTCCTGAACAAAGTTCTCAAAGAGGCTTTTTTTTTGGACTGATGGATTCAACGATCCACTCATAACTATTTGTTAATGGGATATGTTGGGTGGCAGAATTACTGGCAAAATTTCAGCGGCCTGTATTTGTATTTGTATTTTATGTTTGTACTCACAGATGTCATATTCACCTGTAAAATGCACAGTCATCAGGCCTTACAGTAAATAATGTGAAACACTTTGAGACGTCCTCCTGATAATGAAAGACTGCCCAAAAGTGTACCTAGTAGTGATGGTGGAGGCAGTAATGAAAGAACAGTCCGGATGGAACACAGGAGCCAATTAAAATAAGCATACATCTGAAAGGGTAATCTGACCTTTCAAACTAGGGCATGATGAATCAAAACAAGAGCAAATGAGTAAAGTTGTTAGCAGCAATGTTACATGGGATGATTAACTATGTAAATCACATTTTTATAATTTTATTTATCATGTTCCCAATTTACTCTGTTAAAGGCAGTAATTTACGTTGGGGTTTAGTATGTCTTGCCTGATGGCCCATTTCATCACATGAAACCTGGGCAGCCAGTCTCAACAGACTAATCAACTTTTCAGAGCTTGGTCTGATTTGTCCGCATACATTTCAATGAACAGAGATCACAGATATCAGCCTATAATATCAGCCTAGTTCACTTAGTAGGACTCTCACCTCAGAATCAGAAAGTTGAGATTCCAGTCCCAAGTTGGGACTTTGAACTTACAATCTTGGCTGACACTCTAATTTGTGCTGCACTGTTGGAGGTGCTGTCCTTCGGATGAGACAATTAAAACAAGTTCAGGTGGACATTTAAAGATCCAATTTGAAAAGAGAAGGGAGACTCTCCTTGCAAATAATTCCTCAGATAAATTAATAGTAATAATAATCCTTGCATCTGATATCACGTCTTCGAGACATCTCAAAGTGCTTCACAGATTATACTGTAAACGCCTTACAAGCGAGACACCTGAGTTCAATTCCAGGCAGAGGGCGAAACCTTGGGCAAGTTTCCTTACTCCACACAGAGCCTAATAATAATCCCTCCAAAACAAAACAATAATAAATTGGTCATTTTCAATCCACGACTGTTTGTGGGACACTGCTGTGCGCAATTGGCTGCCGCGTTTCGCCCACAAATTCACAGTCTATTCTGTGAAGCGCTTTGAGACGTCGAGAAGACATGATATCAGATGCAAGGATTATTATTATTATATTATATAAAGTGCAGTGATTGTATATTTTGTGGGTGAAACTCGGCAGCCAATTGCGCACAGCGGTATCCCACACACAGTTTTGGATTGAAGTAACCCATTTAATATTATTATTATTTTTTGAAAGAATTATTACCCCCAGAAAAGTGATCTGGCAATTGACTAACAACCGGTTCCTACTTACTGCTAGATAAACAGAGGCGTGTGGAGTAAGGAAACTTGTCGAAAATTTCGCCCTGCTGGGAATAAAACCCAGGTCTCTTGCTTGCGAGGCGAATACTCTAACCACTGAGCTACAGAACTCCACTGTAGATTGTTTATTTCATAACTTTGTGGGACATTGCTGGGTGCAAAATTAGCTGACATGTTCACGTAGAAAATACAGTCACTATCCTTTACAGTAAATGCCTCTGTTCATCTGAAGCTCCTGTGAAAACCGAAGATTATTTTTTGAGTGTTTCAGCCTGCAAGACCTAATTTATCAATGATTTATCAAGGCTTGACTTTTTCTACTAGGATGTCATTTGACCCAAAGTACATGGAGCATACTTGTTGGCAGGTAGGTGATACAAATTGTTCCATCTCACTATGTTTAGAGACCTGCTCCAGGTTTTTCAAAAGATTAAAATCATTCAGCACAGAGGACACAGGTTCAAAATAAACACGTTTCAAGCAACACCGTGCCAGTCAGCACTGCCACCTTTTTTCAATTTGCTTGATTGCTAAAGCCTTTTTTCCAGGCCAAATTTGGTATTTGTTTTCTTTTCCTGTGAGCCTGAACGTGAAACCCATCTGTCTTATCTGTCAGCCTGAACGTGAAACCCATTACCAGCAGAACCAAAACTTGCTTGTAACTATGCTGTGGTTTGATGTACAATGGAGTGTAGTCCTTTACAATACAATACAAAATTACATTTATAGAGTGCTCTTCATATTGGGAGGATGTCCTAAGGCACTGGGCAATCAGGGATTTGGACCCAAATGGGGGTGGAGAGTAGGAGGTTGGCCGAAGGCATGGTCGAAGAAGAGGATCTTGAAACGTATCTTGAAGGAGGTAAGGAAGGGAGTGAGGCGAAGGGAATGTGGGATGGAGATTCAAAGGGTGGGGGCAGAGAGGCTGAAGGCTCCACCGCCGATGGTGGAGTGGGCGGGCGGGGGATGAGGAGCAGATCAGAACATGCTGAGCACAGTAGTTAGCGCGAGAGGACCTGGGTTTGATTCCCGAGTGGGGCAAAACATTAGGCAAGTTTCCTTACTTCACACGCTGCTGTTTACCTAGCAGTAACCAGGATAACACCCAACTCTACCTCTCTGCCTCCACCCTTGTTCCAGGACACTTGCTGTCCTGACAGAATGTCTGTCAGACATCAAGTCCTGGATGAGAGCTAACTTTCTTCAGTTGAAAGTCAACAAGATCAAGGCTCTCCTGGTTGACCCCGTCAGTGCCTCCACACCTCAGGCGCTGACAGCATCACAATCCAAGGATGCATCCTCGCCCGCCAATGAACCTTGGTGTCTTGTTTGACCGTCAACTATCCTTCCTACCCCACATCCATGCCATGATCCACTTGGTCCAACATTGCCTGGTTCGGCCATTGTCTAACACTGCAGGCCGCCGAAACCCTCATACACGCATTCATATCATAGAGGCTTGATTATGCAAACTCCCTACTCGTCGGCCTCCCCAACTAATCCCTCCAAAAGCTGCAAATCATCCAGAACTCTACAGCCCATGTTCTCGCCTGCACCTGGCTCCGTGACCCTATCACCCTCACCCTCGCCTGACTCCACTGGCTTCCCATCACACAGAGGATACAGTTCAAGATACTGGTCCTCACCTTCAAAGCACTCTATGGCCTTGCAACCTCTGCGACTTCCTGACCCCCTACCAAACTGCCCGCTTCCTTCGCTCAGCAGCTCTGGCCTGCTTCACGTCTTCTGCCTCACCTGCCTCACCATTGGCGGGCGAGCCTTCAGCCATTCTGCTCCCACCATCTGGAACTCCATCCCCCAGTCCCTCTACCTCGCTCCTTGCCTCCTTGAAGACCCATCTTAAGACCCTGCTCTTCAACCGTGCCTTCGATCACCCTCCTTCCCTCCCTGCTCTCCACGCTCCCCGATCCCGACCCCCAGCTCGGGTCCGAAACATTGACTATCCAGCACCTTGGGACATCCTCCCGACGTGAAAGGCTCCATACAAATGTTGTATGCAATTGGCTGCCGCGTTTTGCCCACAAAATACACAGTCAATTCACTTTACAGTATATTCTATGGAGTGCTTTGAGCATCTCAAAGACGTGATAAGGCGCTATATGAAATGCAACGATTATTATATTATTATTTTATTTTTTGATTGTAATCTTAATATGAACACAATATATAGTGAAGCAAGGTTGACCAGGGATAATTTCGACCTTGTTTGAAAGACAGCTCCAAGATAACAAAAAATAGAGAACCAAGAAATGAAAGGAGCACAAAGAATATTTGGGCTAAAATACAATATATGACTATGTGAAAGATGCTTAGTCTCCATGTTCCCCAGCATTGAAGATATGATATTCCGTTTCTGCATCTAGTCTGTGAAATCTGATAGCGAATTTGTCCTCATCACTTCACAGTAGGTGACTCTACACTTGGGATTCAACAACCTTCCTAATAAATTAATTCATTTACTTCACAGCTGTTGCCTACAAAAACAGTCACTACACAATAGAAATTACCTGAGAAGTTCTTTGAGATATTGTGATGTGATCGGTTGCTATAAAAATGCAAATTCCTGTCAATAACTAACAAAGAGTAAGTTTAGTGAGATGTAGTTAGCTTGGGGCCCAGTGTGAGGCAATAATATACAAAGCAAGCAGGATACAAGGCTGTATTGCAGATTAGTTCAGTAAGGTTTCCCTGAAATGACTTGGAATTTTGGACAATTCCTAAATTCAGGCTAAACTTGGAATCATTGTTTTCAAAAAAAATTTAAAGAACTGGGAAGGAAACCTGGTTTACAAATTAAGACTGTTTTAAAATTTTGCATGATCTATAATTCTGAGACCAGATTTTGAGATAACGGGGTCTCAAATATTTTGACTATCAGGCTATATTCTGCAATCACTTTGGTTACTCTCTAAGACATAGCAGTGAGGTTGGGATCAAACAAATCTATGTACCTACCTACCTACTACCTATTATAATAAAAGCAGAAGTCGCTGGGAACGTGCAGCAGGTCAAGGCAGCATCTATGGAGAGAGGAAATTAGTTAAGTTTCAGGTCGATGAAACGATGAAACAGACCTGAAAGTTAACTCAGTTTCCTCTCTCCATAGATGTTTGCTGCCTGTTCTGCTGTGTATTTCCAGCGACTTCTGTTTTTATTTCAGATTCCCAGCATCTGCAGTATTTTGATTTTTTTTATTACCTACCTATCATCATTCTATGTGAAGTTATTTGAGACGCTCCCACATTATGGATATTTATCTTTGTTGAGATGCTCATTCTCAACAAAGTTTGTTATCATGGTGTACACATTTATTCCAAAGCTCCTGTGTGCTTTTCAACGCAGAGTGGATTCCATTATGCTGGTGGAAGAAGGCTTCACCATGGTGAGCACTGATGCTAGTGACAAGATGTTAAAGTATGCCTTGAAAGAAAGATGGAACAGGCGGAAAGAAGCAGCATTCGACCAATGGGGTAAGTAACAAGTAAAACAAAGCAAACTGGTTATAAAATAACAGCACACCAATTGTACCTCGTACTCCAACAAAATCTGCTAGCTTGTATTTGCTGAGAAGCACATAGTCACAACAATAACAAATTACATATGTATGGCGCCTTTCACATCAGAAGGCCATTCCAAGGCACTGGACAGTCAGGGATTTGGATTTGAGCTGGGGATTGGGATAGGGAGGGAGGGTAGGGGTAGGAGGGTGGCCGACGGTGCAGTTGAAGAGGAGGTTCTTTGGACATACCTTGAAGGAGGCAAGGGAGGGAGCAAGGCGCAGGGACTGTGGGATGGAGTTACAAAGGGTGAGTTACTACTACAAGTCACTACACTTAACAGCAGTCATCTGTGAAGTTATTTCAAATGCTCCCACATTATGGGTCTAGGTCAAAAAAATTATAAAATTATAAAAATGATATGTATAAAAAAATTATGATAATAGAATCTAAGATACAGAAATTTCTGATGAAGATGCATAACCTGAAAGAACGTCAAACCAGACCACAGGAACTTCACTCCAACATCTACTTTTGGAATAAAGTTCCTGTACCTCATCGTGAATTACTTGCAGTTACTGAAAGGATTCTGTATTAAAGAATTCAGTTAGAAACTAATGCATATTAGACTTCAATGTTCAGGTTTTCAACACATAGTTATGTTAAAGTAGAGAAACCTTTCTTGTAAGCTCTATTTGCACAGTAGGTGTTTCCTTCACAGATAGACTGCTCACATTTGGCAGTTTAGTTTCTTGTGTGACCCGGTGGGGTTTATTCTGAATACCCCTTTACTCTTGCTGACTGTTCATTTAATCTTTGTCTTGTTTTGCTTTCCAGTAATTGAAGAGGCTAACTGGCTAACACTGCCCAAAGACATTCAGAAGCCTGGAAATGGATTTGATGCTGTCATTTGTTTAGGAAATTCATTTGCACATTTACCAGACTTTAAAGGTAATTCTTTTTTACATTGCAATACAAAAATACCATTTTTTGCTGCTATAAGTGCTATAAAGGGCTTTGTTATAACAATGGTTCAATTAAAACAGGTGCCCTGCGGACCCATGACTGCACCATCTCACCTGTTTGCAGTAGTCGGTTTTGTTTTGCTATGTATCATGGCAGTACACAACCTACCTTACTAGCGCAAGCAAGATAGCAATAACGTATAGAACAATTATGTATAGTTTTCAGATTCATTCAAAGCCCTCCACCAAGCAATGGTTCTTGTATAAGGCAGAGAGCAGTGCAAGACCCTGAGCATCAATAATGTAAGGTGGCCATATGGTTCCCAGTTAACAAAGACCAAGTTGAATGTAACATCCAGAGCATCTACCCACACATTTAGTCTCGTTGACTCATAGAATAGAGTGGTGAGAAGTGAAGCAAGCCTGATTGAAGCATTAAACAAAATAACATGGGCACAATCGACAGAATGTAGGCCAGTGTTTAGAGCACTCGCCTCGCAAGCAAGAAACCAAGTCTGATTCCCGGCAGGACGAAATGTTAGGCAAGTTTCCTTACTCCAGATGCCTCAGTTTACCTAGCAGTAAGTAGGTTGTTAGTCGATTGGTGGATTGCTTTTCCGGTAGTAATAATAATAATTCCTTTAAAAAATATTGGTTACTCAATTCACGACTGTTTGTGGGACACTGCTCTGCTCACCAATTTGGCATATTACTGTGGTACATTAAAATCAGTGGGGTGTGGGTCAACTTTGATCTATTTCAGGTGATCAGAGCGATCAGAAGCTGGCATTGACCAACATTGCCAGCATGGTGAAACCAGGCGGAATCTTAATCATCGACCACCGTAACTATGATGCCATACTAGAAACAGGCAATGCACCCCAGGGCAAGAACATTTACTACAAGGTAACAACTGTAATTAATTAACCTCAGTAAAGCAAAGCAAATATTAAGGAGTGACTGTTAGAATTTCAAGTACATAAACACAAATAATACATATTAGTACCAAACAATAAACCTATGAATGTTGTCAATAGTAATTAAAGAGAGAACAGGTTTCGCATATGATTTTTGATTATTTACCAAGATTTCCAGTTGACGTGAAGCCAATCAAATACCAGATTGTATCTTGAAGCATTTTACTAAAAGCCAGAAGATGATTTAATAGTATATAAATCACTGGGTTTGATTCCCGGACAGAATGAAACTTTGGACAACTTTCCTTACTCCACATGCCTCTGTTTACCTAGCACAAAGTAGGAACCCGGTGGTTAGTTGATTAGTGGACATTTCTCCAGGGATAATAATAATTTGGTCACTCAATTCATGGCTGTTTGTGGGACACTTCTGTGGGCAATTGGCTGCTGTATTTCGCCTACAAAATATACAGTCAATTCACTTTACAGTCTAATTTGTGAAGCGATTTGAAACGTCTAGAAGACATGATAAGGCACCGTATCAAATGCAAGGATTATTATTTTTATCACTGGTACATTTGTAATAAAATTGCGATGCACAATGTCCCTATTAACACCTTTGCCAGGAATTAATATATCCATTGGCAAAGAAAGTTTATGATTGATTATTGGCACATCGCCCGGTCCCTGGATGTACAGATCCATAGCATAGCCAAATGGCTTCTCTTGATAAGAACGACTTTTTGCACTACAGCATCATGTCCACTCAAACCTAGGTTGCAATTTCCAGACACGTCAATTAAGCAACTTATAGCCATAAGAGAATAGTTTTGCATATCTTCAGTCTGGGTTTGGCTCACCCAGAGGTCAACGGACCATGTGTTAACAATAAAAAATCATTGCATTTGATATAGCACCTTATCATGTTTTCGAGACATCTCAAAGTATTTCACAGAACATATTGTAAAGTGTGTATTTTGTGGGCAAAACATTTAATTTAAATGTTTAATGCTCCTGAAGTGAAAAAATTGTGTGCTAACCCCTGATGCCACTGGTTCCGTTTGTTTCTTCCATTTGCATTACATCACAGCTTGCCGAAGAGAAATTCTGTATGCTACTGCATAAAGACTGACTATCATTGATTATGTTTTGGTTGCACACACAAATAAAAGAAATATCATTATAAATATTCAACTCATTGAAAAACAATAACAACAACAACTTATATAATGCCCTTCACGCCGGATGGCATCTCGAATCCCTTAACAGTGGCGGAGCACAAATAAATAAATCTCAATTCGACAATGTTCCTTTCTAGAGTGACCTGACCAAGGACATTTCTACCTCCATCCTATTTGTAAACAACAAGGCCCATATGGTGACGTTGGATTATACAATTGAGGTGCCAAGTCAGGAAGAAGAAGAACATGATGTCAGGTTGGTCTGTTTGGAGCAGGGGGGGGGGAGTTTTGACAGAGCTGAGGAGATATAGTAAAATTATAATCAGAAAAGATACAGTGGCAATAAGTAAATGTCGAAGTTTTGGTTTTGAAGGAATTCCTTTATTGTTCATTAATATACAGTGCTATCCACTTATACTCAAACCCGTTTATGTTGACATTCCACTGGTATCTTCATAACAGTGAAGTCCCAGTCCCTTCTCCATACATCAATAGTAAAGTCTGTGTTGATATCAACATAAATTCCAGGAAACTTATGTTGAAAAATTGTTTAGGTCAATATTAACAGTATTATTAACAATACTAACAGTACTAAGGCATTGTTTTATTGCCACTTTTGTCAACAGTCTACTTTAAATTACTATTTTTACTTGCAAGATTATTTTTGTAAATAAGTTAATGTCACTTTTGTAAATAAAATAACGAAATACATGTAAATTCATAGTTCAGAAATGTTAGTCACTATTGTCTATTTGTGACTGCCTATATTGACATAATTTATTATTCTGTATTTATATTCTGTTAGGTGTAATTTAACTTTTGGAAGGATCACAGCCAGTCAATCTCTCCTGTTCAGACAGATATGAGAGAAAATTTTAATGAGAATAGGTCAATCAATTCATCAATCCCATATGTCCCATATTCCAAATCTCTCACAAGCTACATTGTCCTGGATACTGGTTAAAAAAAAACTGTGCAAAGTGTCTTAAGATATTTAGGTGCAATTAGATAGTTTATGATTATTAGCTGCATTCTAGTAACCACTAGTCATAAAAGTAAAAATAAGAGAGAGAAACATTCTGTTATCCCTCTTCTAACATTCTCCTTTTTTTTAGTTCCGTGCAACATAACTAAATCTTATTTTTATTTATTTCATGCACAGCACATTCCGTTTGTCCTACTACCCTCATCGTGTGGATGGTTTCACTGAGCTGCTCAAGACCGCATTCCAAGGAAAGTGTGACCATACGCTGTATGATGATTTTAAGATCCACAAACCTAACCAGGGTGATGTGCCTTGCTATTACATCCATGTTGTGAAAAAGACTGGTTGAATGTTATCTTTTTGCGGAAGATGTGTGCTTGTCTCTAAAGCCCAAGCAAGCATATGAGGTTATATAGTATATAGAAAAAAATAAATTGAAAAATAGAGTAAGATAAAATGGCTTTTAGAATAAGCAAACTGATATGGTCATGTTTCTTAGTTATCAATTGGTACTGATAAGAGCTATCTGCTAAATTATTACTGTAATTAGAAATGGCATGGCTGAATTGGTTTACATTGGCTCAGAGCATCAACGTCAAGGAAATGTTAGGACTGACTGACGTTTATACCTGTGAGACATTTGCACCTGTGAGACAGATTAAATAAGTAATTTTTAATAAGATTAAATAACCTGTGTAAATAAGTTAAGTGTTTATGATGCACAGCAAAGTTGGCCATATGTTTATGCCCAAAATGTTTGGGCACTTTCTATTGCCTCTTGTGAGATCAAAATTAAACCAAGCTACACAATAGTACTCAATATTCCTCCGACAATGGTGTTCTCCGGTTAACAGCCTTTGCTTTGAATATTCAAAAAAATCTTTAAGCTCCAATTATACACTTAGTTATTCTATTTCTAATGGAGCAGTATTGAATGTAGGAAAAGCAAAATCTATTAAAAAATGATAGTTATAGTACAGTGAACTTCTTCCTCAACTTTGAAACAACAGGAGAGTCAGGAGCTACCACTGGGATTGCTAATTGAGTACAGTGTTTGGGTCACTGGATACCAGGATTGAATTGACTGGTTTTCTGGACATTTCAGTGATGTTATCAGCGCCTTTGGTAATTTGTCACATTTTGCACCCATATCTATCCATCTGTAATTCCCACAATGGTAATTGATATTCTACAATTACTTATGTTTCAGCTTCTAGACTGGCTAGAAGCAATTTCCACTGGACAATACATATAGTATAGTCCCTGCAACACACTCAATCCTCATCACCTCCATGATTCTAAAAGATGGAGCTTCTACAACATTGAGAGAGCCCTAGCAAGCCTCTTACCAACTTTCTCAGCCACAGCATGTGACAAAGGAGTTGTAATGAATTGACCATAACTTAACATTTAAAACCTCCCTAGCTCATCTGTAGTACAGGCTTAGTTAGGTAGGCATCTCAATTACTTATGCTGAAAAAATCTGAAACATTCTCTCAGATGCTTCATTGCTGTGGTCCTAAACACTAATGTGCTGATCTTCAAGGCAGTAGATAACCAGAGCACTGTAACTTCTCTGCCATCCAATTGGTAAGTTTGGAAGTCATGAGGCAAAATGTTCACATTGGAATAATCAGGAGAAAGTATTTCAGCCCTGATTATAATATCAAGGATGATTTGGTTAAATGACAGGTTGCTTTGTCATATCCAGGAAGGGAGAGGGAAATCAGCCTTGATACCGATTTACTGTTACTTAATTTCTCTCTCACCATGATTTTTTGCTCCAGAAGGAGACCAAAGTGGGTGTATCAGAGTAGTTGAGAGTTGCTGGATCATATTACATTAGTGTTAAGAACCCTGTCTCTTCATCAGTCATATTAGGCTCTTGTCCCTGGTGAATCAGAATCCAAAAGCACATTTTAACATTTTAAAAAGGAACTTTGTGAAAAAAACACAGTAAATCCAAAGAAGGTACATTTAGTCAGCGGCCCAGGTTTGTTTTGCTGAAAGCAAAATAGCAAAAGCAGTTTCTATCCCTGCACCTGATAAAAATCAGATTCTAAAGATTCAAGTGGCACTTGTAGAGGAAAATATAACTTTTTTCTTTTTGACTCACTGTAAAATATCGTAGATTCATAGAGTTTGTGCTGTGACGAATGTTGGGATTTAGAAGATTTTGTTATTGTGTACATGCTTGCGATATTAATTAATTTAAATCATTGATTAGAACGGTATGGTTAATTTAAAAGCTTATGAGGCTACTGTAGATGCTGTTGATATTTGTGATTTACCTTTTGTGTACTGGCAATAAAAACATTCCACTCATCACTCTTGAGTCTGACATGGAGTTTTGATAGTTTGACACAGTCCAGAATCATACAATTTTTCAGTACAGAAGAAGGCCATTTGGCCCAGGGCAGTGGGATTTTACGGATAGCTATTACAGGAGTTTTCACAGCCACACTGGGCCAAATGTCCTTCTTCTGTATTTCATACTCTTTTATATTTAATTTTCAAATATTAATCTAATTCTCGAGTAGGCTTTTATGTCAAACATTATTTTGATAGGACATTTCATGCCCAAATAACCCTAGGTGCATATAATTCTAACTTCTCCTTTTGTTCTCTTGGTAATGAGTTATACCTTCTACTTACTAACCAACCAATGGAAATAGTTTCTTCCTATTTATTTGATTAAAACCCTTCTTATTACTGAACAGCTCCACCAGGTCTCTTCTGTTCTAGTGAAAACAAGTTCAGTTTCTCTTGGTCTGTCTTCTCATACGTAAAATCTCCCAAGCTGCTATCACTCGAGCGAACTCCCTGTGTACCCACTCAGTGGCCTTCACATCCTTATAATAATAATCCTTGCATTTGATATAGCACTTTATCACGACTGAGACATCTCAAAGCGTTTCATAGATTACACTGTAAAGTGAATTTACAGTGTATTTTGTGAGCAAAACGCGGCAGCCAATTGCACACAGCAGCGTTCCACAAACAGTCGTGGATTGAATGATGAAATTCATTGATTTTAGGGGAGGTCAGAGTATTATCTGAATGAAATCATTCACATCCCAACAGAACGAACTAACAAAAACAAGACTGATCCTATTTACCAAAGCAGGAGGGTATAGAAGCCAAATATCTGCTCAACTACAAGATGTTCGTTTAACAAAAAAAACTTTAAAAATCAGTTTTCAGCAATTTAAAATCAATTAAACTGTGAGGATATAATATAATCAGGATACTTAGATAAATATGGAGGCAAGTTTGAAAGGAGATCCCTAAATGGTGGCTGTAACGTAACCAAAAAAAGTCGTTAAAACCTATGTACAACTGTGATGTGAACAGGAAGGGAAGTTCTCTGATCTTGCACTGGCTCACAGCGAGCTTTACATCAGAAGGCCATGGTTCCCATCTAGAATGAAGTTGAGCTTCCTGCTCAAGGGTTGTTCAGGAGGTAAAATATGGGTAAAATTTATGATATTCCTTATTTAATGAAACCACTAGATGACAACACACCCTCCAGCTAACTTCTCTCCAGTTGCCAGTGCCTGGCATAAAATCGGAAGCGGACAAAGTTTACTTTGCAAATTTTAGACTCTACTCTACATCAGACTCTGTTTTGTAAGGTGTTTCTTTTGCAGTATGATCTGCTGAGGACGGCTGAAAAACACATTCCCCTCAACCAGAATTTTAATTTTATTATTATTGTTATCTGACGGGCTGACATCAATCCTAAATGTTATTGGGCTGAGAAGAGCTGATCAGCCCAACATGTCTATGCCATGAAACGGTTACAGTAAAAATTATTTACAGATGACACTACAATCATCTCCTCACTCCCCAATCCACCACCTGGCACTTCCACTCTACTGGCACTGGCCTTCTGCTCATCCCTCGCACCCTCCGCCCCCACCATCGGAGGTTGCACTTTCAGCCACTATGCAAAATTCTCCCTTAATCCGTCCGCCTTGTCCCCTCTCCCCTTTTTCAAATCCCACCTGAAAACCTTCCTCTTCGACCGTGCTTTTTGTAAAAGTCCTGTTGAGTAATAACAACAACAAATTACAACAAAATTACATTTATAAGGCACATTTCATGTTGGAAGGCATCCAAGGTATTGAAACTGCAAAGTTATAGTGATACAAATTCAATACAATTGATCAATATGCATAACCAGGTTTCTGATAACCTTCGGCACTGAACTCTACTCCTTCTGATTTCACTGTTTGGATTGGAGTTGATATAAGTTGAATGCTCTAGAATGCAGAAACCTTCAAATAATTTGCGCAACTTCAGACTAAACTCGAAACCGATCCACAGGTATTTATCTTTCAGTTGAACATACAAAACATATTTCACAACAAGTCATAATTTCAGACAAGTTTGATAAATGTAAAATGTGATGCGTAGGATTATTAAACAAAGAGCAAGTAAAGCAAACATCAAATTCGGGTGTCTGTCAGAAACGGACAAAATTATGTTGTTCAAGAGAGAGGCCTTCCCAGCAGAGGTTGCCACATCTGAAACAAACAGGATGAGCTGGAAAATGGCTTTTACTCAAAATTGTCCTTTCAATCTGTCACAGTAGTAGAAAGTTCACATACCATCCATTGGTTTATAAGCCGTGTCATTAGTTCTGTACATTATTGCTGTTGAATTTCTCATTTGGTTGTTGCCTTTTGGCTGCTGCATATAAAATAGCAGCAATCCACAGCAGAATTTCCATGTATCCCACCTACACACCTACCAGAGATAGATTGCTGGAATGGAATGCTCACTCTCTCTCTGGAGGGACACATCCCGCTTACCTAATTCCGAAAAGTATTAGGTCCAGGTTGGCAAGAGCCAAGATTTGGGGACCCCAGAGTGATGCTTTGAGGTAAATGCTGGAGTCTGCCAAATTTTCCCACTGCTTGTCCAGCTAGGATCGCCCTACCTGTTAGGGTTTTGGCTTACAAGGTTAACAAGATACTGAGTTGGATGACTCTCTGCCGCCAGTGGCTGGTCTACCCTTCCAGGTCCTGCCAATGAGCTAGGCTGGGCTGTCCAGTCATCAGCAGTGCCCTGGAATACTGCGGACACACATGGCTCAGGAACTGGACTAGAGTCCAGTAGCTCAGTGGTTAGAGCACTCGCTTTGCAAGCGAGAGACCTGAGTTCAAGTCCAGGCAGGGCGAAACCTTGGGCAAGTTTCCTTACTCCACACGCCTAATAATAATCCCTCCAAAACCAAAAACAATAATAAATTGGTCATTTTCAACCTACGACTGTTTGTGGGACATTGCTGTGCGCAATTGGCTGCCGCGTTCGCCCACAAATATACAGTCAATTCACTTTACAGTGTGTTCTGTGAAGCGCTTTGGGACGTCCTCCCGACGTGAAAAGCGCTATATCAAATGCAAGGATTATTATTATTATTATTATTATAGAGACAGTCAGAGAGGATTGACTTGATTCCAACATTCCGTTGCCAGGCACATCACCTTGGGGGCAGTTCAGCTCCAAAGAGACCCCATTTAGGGAAGTACAATGGGATGATTAAGCATTAATTAATTAAGCGAGTGGGCAGAACTATGGCAGATGGAGTTGAATGTGGGGAAGTGTGAGGTTAATCCACTTTGGATCACAGAATGACAAATCAGAATATTTTCTTAATGGTGTATGAGTGGGAGAAAAAGAGATTTAGATGTCCATGTACACAAATCACTAAAAACTAATGCACAGGTACATAAAGCAATTAAAAAGGCTAAAGGGATGTTGGCCTTTATCTCAAGGGGGTTGGAATACAAAGGTGAGGAAATGTTGCTTCAGTTGTATGTGGCCTTGGTCAGACACCACCACCTGGAGCCTGAATTTAGTTTTGGCCCTGCAGCTTAGGAAGGTTAAACTCACCCTTAAACAGCACATATTCACCAGAATTATATCGGGGATAAAAGGGTTGAATTATGAAGATGGGTTGCATAAATGTGGTTTGTATTGCCTGGAGCTCAGAAGGTTGAGAGGTGATCTTATCTCTAGGGTAGGGTAGCTACACAGAAACTATTTCCTCTGGTGGGGGAATCCAGAACAAGGGGGCATCATCTCAAAGTTAGAGCTAAGTCATTTAGGAGTGAAATCAGGAAGTAATTTTTTCACATACAGTGGGGTAGTGAAATCTGGAACTCTCTCCCCCAAAAGGTTTTGGATGCTGGATCCATTCACACGTTTCAAATAAGCAAAAAAGATAACAAAAAGAAAGATTTAAAAAAAAACGTAAGCAAAAAAATCTGGCCTTTCGTGGGTAATGAGCTAGTGAATAATTAACTCACCCTTTTTTGGATCACTGCTGCATTGCTTTAAAGCGAGTGGCTTGCGAGCTCTGTGAAACAGTATCCAGTACATAACAACTTGGTAAGTTTAACTTGTTACCCGGATTTCAAATAACTGGATATGAATAACTTCTAGATGTTTTTAATTAGTAATATGGTGAATAATTATAATAATCCTTGCATTTGATATAACGCCTCACCTTACCGTGTCGTTGCGCACAGCAATTTTACACAATTCAGCTACTACACCCCAAACTTCTGGGACTCACAGCCTCTATCCCACACCTCGCTGCTCTTTATCTATTTTGAAATACCATGTTAAGACCTACGTCTTCATCTGCACCTGCTGTCACCTCCCCCTCCCTTTCTTGCCTGCTCAGCATCCAATAGCATCTCAGTGCAGCGCTCCAAGACGCTATCCTGCATGCAGGACTCTGTATAAATGCAAGTTGTTCTTTGTTGTTGTCTTCAGCTGTTGAAGAATGAAGTGGGCTCTCTGTTTCCTCTGCCTGGGAATGCACGTTGCCCTGATCAGGTCAAACCGACCCCACATTCATCCTTTTCTCCTCATGTACGTCAATAAAACCCAGTCTGATGACCAAGTCAACAACAAGACATTCCTGCCACCTTTGGCCGAGTTTCTCAAACTTCAAGCTCGGATGGTGCCTGACTCTGGATCCAGTGATGATGAAGACCAGGCTCACCCAAAGACCAAGCAGATCTGGCTCAAGGAAAGAAACACAAAGTTGCAGGCTGTAGCCATATCACAAACTGAAAACACCGTTGTCTTACTCAATCATGCTTTTCCCCCAAACAGATGTGCCGACTTGGTGCTTTCCCCCTTGCAGATCTACAGCAGCCTGGCGGCACTCTCTCTGGGCGCCGCAAATGCCACCGCTCAGATATTTCACGACATCCTGGGTTTCACAAGCAGCAGCCAAGTGACCACCGCAAATCTGAGGGAGAAAGACGCAAGCGTTCGGCAACTGAACGACTTTCTCCTCTCGTGGCTACCAGGACGCTATCTGTCCACCAGAAATTGGATCTTTGTCCAAAGGGATATCAAGGTCCTGGAATCATTTGCTGTGAACGCCAAAGAGTTTTACAATGTTAACTTGCTCGCTATTGATTTCACTCACACACCTCTTGCGGAACAGCTAATAAACAGATACATGCACAACGCAAGTGGGGGGGGCAGAGTCAAGGATCCAGTAATTGGCCTCAGCCCTACTGCAACAATGATGTCTGCAAGCTACATGGAGTTCAAAGGTAACTCTGGTTTATACTTTAGTGACCCTGGGATCAGAAATGGGAATGCTTACCTGCTGTATTTAAAAAGCGGAAGCTTCTGTCTTCCAATTCAGGTTTCTACCCAGTCAGGAAGCAGTAGGAATGTCGTAAATTATAGACAGGTACATTTGGTATTTTGGGGGTGGTTTAGATAATATTTAATCATTGCATTTGATATAATAATACTAATAATAATCCTTGCATTTGATATAACAATAACAACAAAATTACATTTGTATAACGCCTTTCATGCCGGGAGATGTATATAGTGCCTTATCACATCTTTGAGACGTCTCAATAGTGACTTAACTCATCTTTGAGATATCTCAAAATGCTTCACAGGATTGACTGTAAACTGTAGTGACTGAGTATTTTGTGGGCCAATACGGAAACCAATTTATACACAGCAACATTCCACAACAGCCATGAGTCACTAATATGTCAGCCAGGATACCAGGAGAAAGAAACTCCCTTCTCTTTTACATTAGTGCCACAGGATCTTTAACATCCCCCTCAACAGGCACAGACTGGACCTCGGTTCAATGTATCATCTGAAGGACCTTACCTCCAACAATGCAGTGCTCCCCCAGCATTGCATTGGAACGTCAGTCAAAACTATATGGGTATCTAACAACAACAAGAACAAATTACATTTGTATACGACCTATCACGGCAAGAGGATGTCCCAAAGCGCTGGACAGTCAGTGGTTGGGATCAGGAGGGGTGGAGGGCGGGGAGGATAGGGGTAGGAGGGTGACCAAAGGCATGGTCGAAGAGGAGGGTCTTGAGACGGGTCTGAAGGAGGCAAAGGAAGGGGCAAGGCAGAGGGACTGTGGGATGGAGTTCCAGAGGCCCACCCGCCCGCCAATGGTGGAGCGGGCAAGGAAGGGGACGTGAAGCAGGCTGGAGCCCGCTGAGCGGAGGGAACGGATAGGTTGGTAGGGGTTAGGAGTTCATGAAGGTAGTGAGGAGCAAGACCATGGAGGACTTTGAAGGTGAGGACCAGGATCTTGAACTGTATCCTCTGTGTGATGGAAAGCCAGTGGAGTCGGGCGAGGCTGGGTGTGATAACGTCACGGAGCCTGGTGCGGGAGAGAAATGTGGAAGTTGACCCCATGTCTATGGACGATGTCACCAAGAAGGAGCATGTAGAGGGAGCAAGGAGGGGACCAAGGACAGAGCCTGAGGGGCGCCACATGTAATGGTACAGGGACTGGAGGAGAGGCCATTAGTGGAAACAAAGTGGAGACGGTGGGAGAGGTAGGATTGAAATCGAGCAAGGGCAGATCCATGAAGATTGAGCTGAGAGGAGAGGCAGTGGAGGAGGATAGAGTCAACATTGTCGAAGGCAGCAGAAAGATCGAGGAGGATAAGGAGGCAGAGAGAGCCCTGGTCATAGATGGACAGAATGTCGTCCCAGTGTGAGGCTCGAACCCACAAGCTTCTTTTTATCTATCTGAGCATTTGCTGACCTTATACTTTGCTTATTTTGCTGCAAAGATCTCTTTCTTTCAACAAGCAGCCTTTGTCTGACACAATAGAATCTAAGTTACATTCACACAGATCCTTTCATGTTAAGAGGATGTCTCAAAGTGCTTCACACTGCTGGCTGGGCACCTGAGCTGGGGTGGAGTCAAAGGAGTGGAGAGAGATGACCGAAAGCGCAGTCAGAGATATGTTTGAAAGAGGAAGGATGGAGTGAGTCAGAGGAAAGAGTCCTTGACATATCCCTGTTATTCATTTCCACTTACTTCCCATTTACTCGAAAAACCCCCACAAAGATCCAGCTGCAGAAGGAAGCAATTGGATTCATTGTGCAACTAATTGGACAATTACTCCACCAACTAAGTTATCTATCCAAATCCCAATTCCCTGCTCTTTCCTTCTACCCTCTAATCCCATTTCAAAACATGGTTCTGTCTAATTTCCTTTTAAATGCTCCAGTGTGGTCTTTTCCGACAGCCTCTCCTCACAACTCATTGTTGGGGGTGGTATGTGATGGTCTCGGAGCGAGGCCAAGCTCAACAATGAAGAATTGGCTGTTGACGACTATTCTGGAGTTGTTGGTCAAGTTGCTTCATGTCTCTGGCCTATCGACTCCATAATCAGTGGACAAGCTTTTATCCCTTCTGCCACTGTTCTCAGGAAATCCATCCTTTCCTCCCGCCGACTCCCTTCCTCCCTCCCCACATTCAAGGCTCGCCTCAAGACGTAACAGTTTGATTAGGCTTTTGGTCATATCCCACCCCCACCCCCACCAACTTCAGCACCCCGCAACACCCCCCCCCCAGAATTATTACCCCTGGAAAGCGATCGATTGACCATATCCGGCACTTTGAATATCTCCACAGTCTTACCGCTCAAGTCCCACTTGATTTGTTCCGCCATCAATGACTGAGTCATCAGTAAGTTCCTACTTACTGCTAGGTAAACAGAGGCATTTGGAGAAGGAAAATTTGCCTAAGGTTTTGCCTTACCCGGGAATTGAACCCAGGTCCTCTTGCTTGCGAGGCGAGTACTCTAACCACTAATCTACAGGACTCCACAAATGGGACTGAACATGCTTTGAATTGCTCGTTCAAAGCACCAGCACAGACACAATAGGCCGAATGGCCATCTTCTGTTCTGTCCATTTCTGTGTTTCCACACAAGTAATTGGGACAAGACCAGATTGGGGCAAACAGCCAGGTGAGACTATGTCAAAATCTGATCCTTGGCTGGACTCCGCGACCCGAGATTCTTTGGCCCAGGATTCCATGCTGGCCTCCAACCTCAACCTCATCATGCTACGTTGGCTACCAGTGCCTCAGAGGATTGAGTTTAAGATCCATGTCCATGGTCCTATCTTATCGCTCAAGTCGCACTTGCTTTTTATTTTGCCCACAAAATATACAGTCAATTCATTTTACAAGTATATCCTGTGAAACGCTTTGAGATGTCTCAAAGAAGTGATAAGGTGCTATTTCAAATGCAAGGATTATTATTATAATATTATTATGCTTTGCTCCGCCATCGATGATTAAACCCCCTTGACCATGCCTTTGGCCAACATCGTTGTGACAAACTTATCTCGCTCACTCAGCCGTAAGATTTGTCAAGTGCTCTGAGACGCCAAAAGTCCCCGTATAGTTTATCTGTTGCTGCTTCGTCCCTGTGCCTCTGACTGGAGTCTGCAAAGCAAATGACTATAGTTACTGTTTGTGGGACACTGCTGTCTGCAAACTGACTCCACATTTCAGCCAAAATACACAATCACTGCAGTATATCCTGTGAAGCGCTTTGAGACATCCCAACGACCTAATAATGCACTATGTCAAATGCAAGGATTATTATCCTTCCGATGTGAATGAGGGTGCTGTGTTCACAGAATGCTTCTCCAGGAAATAGAATGGTTTGGGTGGCATCCACATTGGGCTGATCTTTGTGAGTAAAGTGCAGGCTTCGATCAACCCTTCGATGAATCCCTTTCTCTTTCCATCTTCACTGTATGATTCTATCCTTTACTCTGTTCCTTTTATCTCCTTCTTGTTCTTCTTCAGGAAAATGGAAAAAAGCATTTGAATCTCACACGACGGAATTGCAAGATTTCTTCATTGAAGAAGATAGAAGAATACGAGTCCCTACCATGTCACAAGCCGGTTGGTTCCAGGGAATAGTTGCTCACGAATACACGGCCATTAAACTCCCAATGGCTGGATCAACAAGCATGACCATTGTGCAACCAGTCAAGGTGGACCTGATGCAGAAGATTCACAGAAAGCTTCCCATTCGCACCATTTTTGAACAGCTTCAATCTAGGTGCTTCAAGCATTTTTAATTAATTGTGAATTTCAGAATCAATTTTTGTTTTGAGCAGCCAAACAAAGCAGTCCAACATACATGGAAACATATAATTAGGCAGCGTCTCCCAACCTATTGTGGAGTCCTTTAGTATCCTGTAGCGCAAATGAGAGCGCCTGGGTTCGATTCTCGAGCAGGATGAAACCTTAGGCAGCAGTAAGTAGGAATCCAGTTGTTAGTTAACTGGTGGATCACTAACTAGGGTAATAATCCCTCAAAATAAAAATAATAATAATTTGGTCACTCAATCCACGACTGTTTGTGGGACACTATTGTGTGTAATTAACTACTGCGTTTCGCCCACAAAGTGTACAGTATATTCTGTGAAGCGCTTTGATGTCTTGAATATGTGATTTGGAGCTATGTCAAATGCAAGGAATAATATTGTTATTATTATATTGGCTAACCAATACGCAGATTCTCTTCCCTAAGGGCTGGATACTGCTCACCTAAACCATGTTTTAGTCGAGGTTGGCAGGAGCCAAGGCATGGCACTTTAGAGTATAAATTGGGGGCACTCCTGGCGTTTAACCAGATATATACACATAAACTTGCAGCAAGTGTCCTGCTCTTTGCCTCCCTAACACAATCCAGGCTGATGCTCCAGTGCAGTGCTGATCACAGAAGCTGTATGTTCAGAGGTGCCGTTCTTTGCATAAGATGTTTCACTGACATCTGTCTGTGCCTGTTCAGGTGGATGTTAAAGGTCCCATTCGAAAAGGGAAAGAAGTTTCTCCTAGTGTCCTGGCCAACAATGCCCTGGATAAAATTCCTCATTCACTTCATGGCTTTACTTGAGACGTTGCTTTGCGCAAATTGACTGCCGTATTGACCTATAGTCATTTGATATAGCAGCTATCGCATCATCAAGCTATCTCAAAGCGCTTCAAGGATTTTACTGTGAAGTGTGGTGACTGTATTTTGTAATCGAACACAGGCACCTAATTTGTGCAAAGCAATGTCCCATAAACAGCCATGACCAATTTTATTTGGGGGATTGTTGACCAAAATACACTTGATAGTACATGCCATGAAGCACTTTGTCCACCTGACATGAAAAGCGCTTTATCAAATGTAGAAATTGTTATTTAGTATTATTCCCTCGTCACCTGTCAATGTGATCTTATGGTTTCCTATTTAAACTTGGGAATATGAATGTTCTCTGTTGCAGATTTGTCAAAGTGTCTTTACCCAAGTTCAAACTGGATACGACTTACAACATAAAAGATATTTTCCTTAGGATGAAAGGCCCAGATGCATTTAGCAGTGAAGCTGATTTCTCAAGATTAAGCAATGATGGAAGACTGAAACCCGACAAGGTAAGAAGTATACGGCCTGGTAAACGCAACAATTGGAATAACAGACAAATGTTTACTATTTTTAGTGGTCTTTGCTGAAGTGAGTTGTATCACTTGAACTGCACTCCTTGCATTTGCTATAGCATCTTAAAACATTGTCAAAACATCTCAAAGTGCTCCACAGGATAAATCCAAGTATAGTAAGTATAGTAACTATGTCTTTTGTGGGTGAACATGGCAGCGAATTTGCTCACAGCAATGTCCCCCTGTCAGCCTTGAAGTGAGTGAACAATTGTATCTGGAGATTGTCGGCCAGGACACTGGAAGAGAGAAACTCCCTTCTCTTTTCGAGTAGTGCTGCAGGACCTCTTAACATTCCACCTGAACAGGCACAGACAGGATCTTGGTTTAAAGTTTAATTCAAAGGACAGAACCTCTGACAATACAACTCTCCCTCCAGCACGGTACTGGAACGTCAGGGCTGAACTGTGAGCTCAAAGTCTCCAGCATGGATCTTGAACCCGTAACCTTCTGACTCATAGGCAAGAGTGCTAGCGACTGAGAGGGGCTGACACACTTGGAAGATAATGAAATTATGTTCTAACAAACCCATTTAGGGATTCATTGACAAGTGGTGCTTGGGGACTGGAGAAGAGTGAATGTAAGTCAAATAACAGCAAAAGTGGACAAAGAGCTAACACTGAGAACTACAGGTCATTGGTTTTGATATCTATTGATGAGGAGATATTGGCTAACATTCTGAAGGAGAAAATAATGAATCATCTGAGAGAATTAGACTCTAAGTCAGAAGAAGGAAGGTGAACAAACAATTCTGATAATTATTTGACACGGCACAGTATGTTGAGCAAACTGCTGCATCAGCAAATACAAGAGAGAATTAGATATAAATAATACTTGATTTGATATAGCGCCTTATCATGTCTTCAAGACGTCTCAAAGTGCTTCACAGAATATATTGTAAAGTGGATTGACTGTGTATTTTGTGGGCAAAACACAGCAATCAATTGCGCACAGCGGTGTCCCACAAACAGTCGTGGGTTGAGTGACCAATTTATCATTGTGGTTCAGAATGTGAGATAGTGCTTGCAGGTGGTGTGCTACAGGCCATGAATTTAAAATCCATCACAGTTCTTCCAGATTGTAACATCATGTGAAACCCTTGATTAGATTACAATCTCCTAGGTAATTAGTGTTCTAGGTAAACACAAATAAACCATTCATTAGATTACAGCCTGTACATCACCCACACCTACCACTGTTCTCCATGTTCTTTGTTTTTCCCATCTTCAGAATATTCAACAGAATATCTATAGTCAGTTCATGCCAGTGACCAGTGTTCCACAACGATCAGTCCTAAACCCCATCTCTACACAGTATGTATAAATGGCCTCAAGGTAGAAATAGAAGGGAACAAAGATGACAATAGCTAGTAATTTATAATTCATGTACCAGGAACATAAATAAATTCATAAATACATGCAGTTTCCCGATCTTCAAATTATCTTTGCACTTTAATTTGAACATTGACATGAATCAGCTTTATATCTGCCAATCTCTTGGGGTTTTCTTTCCTTCCCAAGAGCTTCTGTTTTTTTATTGTCGACAAAAAAGAATTGCAAAAACTTGATTGATTCACATCAAATTGTAGAAGAAAGTCCTGTAGCATAGTGGTTAGAGCACTCACCTCGCAAACAAGAGAACCTGGGTTCGATTCCCGGGAAGAACGAAATATTGGGCAAGTTTACTTATTCCAAATGCCTGTTTATCTAGCAGTAAGTAGGAAACACAGTTGTTAGTTGATTTGGCCGATCGCTTTCCTTTGGTAATAATCCAAAATATAAATAAATAAATTTAAAAAACTATTTGGTCACTCGATCCACTTTATGTAGACTGTTTGTGGGACACTGCTATGCGCAATTGACTACCGCGTTTGCCTACAGAATATATAGTCAGTTAACTTTACAGTATATTCTGTGAAGCGCTTTGAGATGTCTCAACGATGTGATAAGGTGCTACATCAAATGCAAGGATTATTATTATTAGTAGTAGTAGAAGAAGAGTCCAGGACAAGGAACCCATCTGAGAACCAGCTTGACACTTTAATAGGACAAGGGTCTGATGGATATTTAGAAAGGTTGAGATCAAAGAGTTTTCTTTATCACTGTGATCTTGTAATCATTACATTTCTCTCTGTTTTCAAAGGTTATAAACAACATCAATTTTGAACTAACTGAGGACTGGGAAGAACCAGTGGCTCAAGGCAATGTTCAATTCAACAACGCCACAGAAATCAAGATAAACAGGCCGTTCCTCTTTCACGTTTATGATGATGTTTCAAACACACTGCTGTTCGTGGGCAGAGTAAAAAACCTTACTGAATATGATCAGAACTGATTGATGTTAGGTAACGATACCCCGAATGAAAGGTTACTCACTCGGGCTGCTGTTTTTTTGAGGAGATGTATGTATTTGGATCTCAGTGAGTATTGCTACTAAAAGTAACATATTGGTGAGTAAATGGGTGGGGGAGTGGGGAGCCATTAATTTTTTAAAAAAGAACCATCCAATGAATATTGCAAGTGGAAACCTCCAAGTGGGTACCTCACACATTAACTCGATGTGAATTCTAAGACAAGACACAGTTTTCAGTACAAACAGATCAAGGTGCTAGAAAAGGTTGATTTTAATATAGTTTGTAAGAAGAGCAATAGAAGAATTAATAGTGAATATATACATATATATGTGTATATCAATACCCATATATGCTTAGGGGTAGGAAACAGGGGAGAAAGAAACTGTTTTACTAACGTTTTAGGAATTGGCAGAATAAGCCATCCTGGTTCTGAAAGGCCAACGATCAGTCAGTTGTGATGGTGAGAGAAGGCATGGAACAGGCTTCAAGAAGTGCCCAAGAAATCTGCAATCCATGTGGGCACGTCAGTACAGCTGCTCAGTATTCAGTGAAAACATGCCGATCGCATTATCTACCAGACAGAGACAGGCTCCGGCCTTGGAATGGAGAATCAAGATGTCCTGTGTTGAAGAATAATGAGCAAGCTGCTTTGTCTCAAAAGGGTCTGTTTATCTAGCAGATATGGATACAAGGATATGCAAGGGTCGAATAAGTTGGGTACATACTAAGATGCATGATTGGAAAAGAAGGGGGCAAGATCCCTAGGGGAAAAGGTATAACTATCCTGACTTTAGGCAAGTAAGGCAGCAGATCCAGCCAGACAAAGAGGGCAGCCGAACCGTCGGAGAGAAGGTGTGCTGAAACCATTGCAACTGACTGACTGCTCCAAAACTGGTAGTATAAGTTCTGTTATTTGTAGTGGCAGTATTATTTTACTAGTTTTGTACATGTTACTTTGATTAATAAATCTCTATTACACCTTAATTGGATTGTCGGGTCATTATTCGAACCTTGGGATCGGAAATCCTAACAAATTAGCCACCATGAAGGGATCTGACAAGTGATAGAGATTTTTTTTTGTCATCAGTAACTAAGAAAGGCTGGGGGCCAACAGAAAGGGATATTGACTCAGGGAGTCACAAGAAAAAAATACTTGGCGAAGTTTTGTGTTGTTCAATAAGACTTAGGAAGTCTTGATTGGAGTGTTGGTTCAGGGAACCACCAGAGAAAACTCGGCGAAGTTTTTGGGCTGTCTTGTTGAAGTGTCAACTCGGGGAGTCGTGAGGATAAGACTCGGGAAGTCTTGGCTGATGTATTGGTTTGGGGAACCACAAGAGACAAACTCAGGGAGTTTGAATTTAAACATAGGCTTGGGGAGACCTACAAGAACAGGATTCAAGAGAAAGTCAGGATAAAAAGTAAAACTCAGGGAGATTTTACAAGCGTAAATCTAGGGAGATTTATGAAATAGAAGACTCAGGGAGTCCGAGATAAAAATTCGGGGAGTTTTTTTAATCAAAGGATAAAAACTCAGGGAGAGTTTTTCTGTTGTGTTTAGTTAAAATGGATAAATCCAAAGAGATGAACACGAGAGAAGCATTTAAAAAGTGGTTGCAAAAATACGAGAAAGACTTATGCAAAAACGCAGGCTAGAAGTTCGATCATTTAGAAATGGAACATCCAGGGGTCACCAAAACCTTTGAACAGGGAGTGACATGGATAGAGGATCAGGTAGCCAGGGAGAAATAAAAACAGGAGGAAGGAGTTGCAGATCTTTAGTCAAGTACGTTATGTGGAGAGGATGTTTGGGAACCCAGGAAAACTTAAAGAAATGGAAAATTAGTTAAAAGGAGAGAGAGTTATACAATATAAAATAAGACAGTTGGGCATTGTGGTGGACAGCCAGCAAGGAGCGGTGAATTTAGCCAATGCCGAACAGTGTAGCAATGAAGAGAATAAATGGCTGGTGAAGCAACTTATGACCGAAAATAAAGAGTTAAAAGAAAAGTTAGAAGATGCGAGGGAAGGAATGCATGAATTTGTAGAACAGACTAAAGGAAAGGAATGTGACCATCGACAATGTCAAATAGAAATACAAGGATTAAAACAAAAACTTAAGGGAAGACAGGCGATGGTAGAGGCAGTAACAAGAGGCAACGATTATGCAAAGGTGGAAGATATAGATTGGAGGGATCTTAATGAAGAGGCCTGTGATTATCATAGGAAGAAAGAGTGCGGTCCATTGCAGGGAGGAATCCAGATTGGGTCGAAATTACAGACATGAAGGGATATAAAAATCAATTTCTCCAAAAATTGTTACCATCTATTAAAATGGTCCTAGGAGTATTGGTTAATCCACGCATTGGTTGGGATGAAATTATGGAGAGGATCAAAACTGCCCCACTGGCATGTTGGAGGTTAAAAAAGAACCACAATTGGTCCATGAGGTAGGACAGAGTCCAATGAATAACTACAGTAGAGGGGGCAATTGGCGAGGACAGAATAGATCTTATGGACGTAACAATCGTGCCGGAGGCTGAGGTTATTATGTGCCAAGAACCGGTGGATGTGGTCAAGGTATCGGATATAATTCAGGGGGGAATCAACAACCTGAAGGAGGTCAATATTTTACTTGTGGCCAGAACGAGCATTGGGCAAAAGAATGTCCGAGTTGGACACAGGGTGGTAACCAATCGACAGAACAGTTACAGGCTCAGATAGATCAACCTCAGGATGTTGTGCAGAAAATGGGGGCATTTGCTGCTACCAGACAAATTCCAGGGGGCGGCTCGATTTGCCAAGTGGCTGAAGTAAATTCCCCCGCCCCGTGTCCGCTATTATTAACCCTCCAGCAGACGACTGGAGGTGGTCCTCCAATTAGTAAAACCTCCAGTTCCTTACCCTTAAAAGCTACTGTAAAAATACAGGCAGCTATGGCCAGGGAATCTTGACAGGGGATCCTGTGGCACATGCACAGTGTCCCAAAAAGGTGCAGCAGTTGGAGGAACAACTTAAATGTAAAAGAGTGATGTCAGGAGAAACTAAACATGAATCTGAGAAGTTTAACTCAGAACGGGATGAAGCAAGAAAAGAAATTGATAGAATTAAACATGAGAAAGATGAAGAAGTAGACAGACTTAAAGCACAAGTAGCAGCCGTAGTGGAGGAAAAAAACTGAAGAAGTGCAGAACAAGGGTTCACTGCAAGGTTTAAAAGACAACACTGGACAAATTAATTCTGCAGGAAAAAGAACTGCAAAAGGTAAAGGGATAAACTCAAATCCAGTGACAAAACCACCAATACCGAAGGATTGTAAAGATGAAACTAAGAAACGTAATAAAGAGTCAAATTTGGAAGAAAGATTAGGACAAACGGTTACATCTGAATTGAAAGAATGCACTGATTGTGCAATGTGAACCTGTCAATCATTCTCCATACAAAATGGTCAATTAAGCATTAGGCGTGATTAGCAGCAGTTACCTGGGCATTACACCACTTAATAATAATAATAATAACAATAATCCTTGCATTTGATATAGTACCATATCATGTCATTGAGACATCTCAAATCTCTTCACAGAATATACTCTAAAATGAATTGACTATATTTTGCAGGCGAAACACGGCAGCCAATTGCACACAGCAGTGTCCCACAAACAGTTATGGATTGAATGACCAAATTAAAAGTATAGAATCTTACAACACAAAAGGAGGCCATTTGGCTCATCGTGCCTGTGCCGGCTCTTTGAAAGAGCTACCAGCTAGTCCCACTCTCCCGCTCTTAAGCACAACTTTGCTTTTTAAATACCAATCCAATTCCCTATTGAAAGCTACCATCAAATCTGCTTCCACTACCGTTACAGGCAGTGCATTCCAGATTGTAACAACTTTATTCTAGACCATAATATCTCTTATTATTATTTTAAATATAGCCCATTATGGTGAATTATTTTTTTGGGGAGCAATAATTACCCCTGGAAAGCAATCCGCCAATCGATTAAATAATGAGGTTCCTACTTACTCCTAGGTAAACAGAGGTGTATGGAGTAAGGAAATTTGCCTAACATTTCGTCCTGCCTGGGAATTGAATCCGGGTCCTTTCGCTTGTGAGGCAAGTGCACTTACCACTATGCTAAGGGACTCCACTTAGCCACCTGTAGATGGGAAAATGGAAAACTGAATGAGAAATTGGCCCTTATAGTGAAGCAAAGCTTGAGTTTAATTTTAGTTTCAGAGCCTTGCTGGTGACAGTTATTATCATTTGTGATTCTACCATCAACAGTTGGTCTAATCAAAAAAATCCACTCAATTGAATGGATTTAAATTGAAATAAGGAGCAGAGCTGGACAATTGCACTTCATTGCTTATGCTCTGATGTGCACACCCCAGTTTCAGTCTCACAACGACTGACACATGAGCAAATCCATCACCATGCTGAAGCACATGCTTTAGCGTGAGTCAAGGCACAGGGCCCCCAAAGTGCGCAAATTCGGATAACTCTTGGAGTTTAACCAGGTAAAACCACACAGTTTACCATTGAGGGCACTCCAGCAGCTTGTCCATCTAGGACCACCGTTGTTGCTTTAAATGGAGTCCTGCAGCTCAGTGGTTAGAACACTTGCCTCACAAGCGAGAAGACCTGGATACAATTCACGGACAGAGCGAAACCTTAGATAAGTTTCCTTACTCTACACTCCTCTGTTTACCTAACAGTAAGTAGGAACCCCGTTGTTGGCAGATTATTTTCCGGGGGTAATAATCCTGCCAAAAAATAAACAAATAATAATAATTTGATCATTCAATCCATGACTGCTGTGTGCAATTGGCTGCCGCATTTTTCCCACAAAATATACAGTCACTACACTTTACACTACATTCTATGAAGCGTGTTGGGAAGTCTCGATGACGTGATAAGGCGCTACATCAAATGCAAAGATTATTATTATTCAGTTTACAGGGTTAAGTGGAGCTGAGTGAGAAAAATATCTGCCTGCATTGAGGACGTAGCTGTCATGTTTGGTAAAGTAGCTGACCTGGAGAAAGGTTGGACAAGCTGAACTAACATCCACGAGAACAATTGTTTTTAAAAAATAACCAATATCAATGTACGTGTATTTCAGTATCATTAAAAATTCATATGGCTCATTTTAGTCTCTTAAATCATTAGTTCTTTTAAATTGCTGTATTTCTCTTGTTTACTGAGATTGATGACGTTTTATGGCCACTTTTCAAGAATGAAGAGATTCATAATACTTATTTTTATCAACATCCTTTAAGGGAAAGATATCTGAGGTTCACAATTCTGTCAATCTCGGTCATATACATGACAGAGATCTGGATCAATTCCAAGGTTTGGCCATGTATTTCTGTGGTTTCCAGGTTCATCATGAGGGCTTCCAGAATGTGTATTCCAGTTCCAACATCCATGTCAGGGTCAACACTGAGCCTATCCCTCTGGAAATGGGGAGTAAGACTGCCCATTGCCA